GCAGGGCTCTGCTCCCCCCCGGCAGCGCCCCCGAGACCCCCCCCACAGCCCCCCAGGGGTCCCCTGCTGCCCCAGCTCCCGCTGCACCCCCCCCCGGTCCTCCCCCAGCCCCCCCCTCACCGAACTCCCTGACGATCGCCTCCCCGATGCCCCGGCTGCCCCCGGTCACTACGGCCACCTTGCCCGGGTAGCGCAGCCCCGAGGCCATGGTGCAGGGCGCCCCCGGGCCGCAGCGGAGCCGGGAAAGGGGAAGCTACATGGGCCGGGGGGGGCGAGAGAACGGTGCATCCTGGGAAATGTAGTCCTGTCCCGAAAGGGGGGGGCAGGGGGCTTGTCCCCTCTAGGGGGCGCCGGCTCCCACCCGGCCCCACGGCAGGGACTGGCTGGCTTGGGGGGCAGGGAATGGGGCACGGGGCCTGTCCCTCCTAGGGGGCGCCGGCTCTGACCAGCCTTGTGAAAAGCGGGGGGGGGGTTGTCTCTGGAATAAAGAGGCTGAGATTCAGGGGTTACACGAGGGTTAAATAAATGAGATTTATTGGTTACATTTCTCTGCAATATACTCCAGAAGGAAGAAACCCCCCAACGTACCCCCAGAGGGACCAGGTTAAATCTAGGATGAGTTCCCAGCCACCTCTGGGGTGGGGCACGGGGGCTGGGTATGCAGGGCCCCCTCACGGGGATGTGGCCCCTCTGGGGTGGGGCGCAGGGACTGGGTATGCAGGGCCCCCTCACCGGGATGTGGCCCCTCTGGGGTGGGGCGCAGGGACTGGGTATGCAGGGCCCACTCGCCGGGACGCGGCCCCTCTGGGGTGGGGCGCGGGGGCTTGGTATGCAGGGACCCCTCGCCCGGTGCTGGGAAGCGTCCCCTCTGGGGCTGCCACGTTTTATCACGTCCCCACGGTCTGTCTCCAGGTGCGCTGGGACAGTTTGTTAAATGTCTGGGCCCAAAGTCCTGTTCAGACGCTCACTAAACCCTCCTGTGTTACGCCGGCTGAGAGTCGCTCTGGCCTAGAGAACGGGGGCGGGGGGGGGGCGGAGGCATCGTCCCCTTCGGGGGTGGAGGCCCCAGGGGTCCGGAGCGAGTGGACTCCCTGAGGGGGCCCACGGCAGAGACAGACGTGCTAAGGCTCAGAGAGGTGCAGCTCCAGGAGGTGGGGGGCCTGACCCCGGGAGAGAGGGGACCCCCGAGAAGGGCTGTCGCGCTAAAGAGGGTCCCCCCAACGGACCACACAGGGCCAAGAGTTGGCCCGACCTGTGAGTCCGTGATGCTGTGTCACTAGGGTCCGCCGCCCCTTGGCTTCACCCGCTCCTGGGACCCAACCTCAGGGTCTTCCCCCCGGCTTCACGCCGTGAGCTCCCTCCACAGCTCCGCCTGCGCTGGGCCCCTCGGCGAGCCGTGTCCCCCAAAGGGATCCGAGCCCCCACCTCCAGGAGCTGCAGGGACATTCACGCCGTGGGGTAAGAGCCGTCGGGTTAGCGCAGAGAACCCAAACTTACACCAGGGTCCAGCTTCCTCAGCTCAGCGCCCCCCTGAGCCCTCTTGTCCCCCAGTTCAGGAGTCTCCCCATCTTAACAACCCCGCCTGGCCCCTCCTCGGTCGTCCGGCCGCCTGCCTTCCTGCAGCGGCCTGCCTCTGGGCAGACCCGAACTCGAACACGGGCCATTCCCGCACACAACACACACGGGGGACAAATTCCACAGCCCCCCGTGTAGTGACCCCTTCCCTGTACAGACTGCAGCGTATTCCCTGGCCAGGCCCCGGCGAGCTCGAAGGTCTCCCCAACTCCGGTACCCCTCCACAGGGGAGCCCCAGAGACACCAACAGGCAGGAAAAGGGGGTAACAGGGGAGGGAGCTGCCTGGGGGCGAGGGGGCCAGTTGAAGGATTCTCCCTTCCCCTGCTGCCCCCGTACAGAGTCCCATGAGAGTGGGGGAGGATCAGGTGTCCCCATAAATCCCCCTTCCCTCTGGGTGCTCATGAGAACCCCCCTCCCATTGTCAGCTTCAGCTGGGTGGGTGTTTGGGGGGAGCCCAGGGCCGGGCTCGCAGGGTCTGCGGGTTGGGAGTGAGGGGCCCAGGGGGTTGCACTTCCCACTCTGCCCACCAGGGGGCAGCAAGGCGATGGGCCCCTAGGTGGGGTTAAGGGGTCCCCTCTCCGGGGGCAGGGACCCCAAACCTCTGAGCCCCGCCCCATCTTTGGGCACATCCCCCTATAGAGCCCCCCACCTTGCCCTAGAGCCCACCCTAGGGGGCGGGACTTGACCCTGCCTCTCAGCCAATGGGTTAGAAGCTGGACTGCAGTAGGGTGATCCTGATTGGCTGGCTCCCCTCGCCCAGGTACGCCACCACCTGCCTGGGCACGGCACGCCCACCCCGCCCCCGACACCCGCCATTGGCCACGTCCTGGTTACCCACAATCCTTTGCTCCGGTGCCCAATCCCCACATTCCTTTTGGGCGGCCCAGAACGGAGGCGATGCCCGATTGGACGCCTTGGGTGCAGTCGACGTCTGATTGGCCAATGTGGGCAAAGGGGGTGCCCAATGAGACCCCTCGGACAGGGGCGATGCTCGATTGGCTGCCTCTGACAGACATGCTGCCTGATTGGCTGCTTCAGGCAAGGGTGAAAACCAATTGGAAAGCTCGTGAACAGGCAAGGCCCAATTGGCCGCTTGAAATCGAGATGACGCCTGATTGGCCGCTCCCGTCCGTTGCACTGAATTGGCGCTAAGTGCTGTATTCTGATTGGCTGGGGCACATGGTTCCGCCTCGACGTGATTGGCCTCTGGATGCCCCCGGGGGAGTGCGGGAGTAAACAGCGTGTGCTGATTGGTCACTGCATCCAGCGGCTCTGGGGAAGGGTCCGGATTGGCCGCCAACTGGGGCTCAGGCGGAGTCTTCCCTGCACAGAGAGAGGAGACCAGAGTCACCGACCCCCCTCCCCGGTGCTGACATGCGGCCACCTCTGGGGTGGGGCACGAGGGGGCTGGTTATATGGGGACCCCTGGCCGGGCATGGACATGCGGCCACCTCTGGGGTGGGGCACAGGGGCTGGTTATATGGGGACCCCTGGCCGGGCATGGACATGCGGCCACCTCTGGGGTGGGGCACAGGGGCTGGTTATAT